TGCGTGTTCTACTGATGTCGGGGTCATTAATTTGTTACAGTTATTACCAAAATTTCAGGGTTTGTGAGCCTCTGTGATTGCCCGTAGTCGGGACCGAATGTACAAATGTTCGATCCACCCAAGAACGGCTACTATGCGACGGCTAGCTTAAATTAATCAAGGTGTACAGAGATCGGTCACTGAAGCCGAACTTCTCAGTCCAATCCCAAATTTTCTGCAAACATTCTAGTTGCGTACTGTCAACTTCAAGGAAAAACGTATACTTAATGCAATTACTGGAAGGGCATTAGCATGTGTTTTGCATAAAAATAGCTTTACCACACACTAGTTAACAGTCTAGGTGCTTGTTTTACCAAATTTTCTGTCATCACAAGACGCCCGTTCAAGGGGTTCTGCTCGCCACTGTGCCCCCCAGTATCCCTCACGTGGTTTCCGGTATAGATTCAGATTTAAAAGAAGACGAAGGCAGGATGGCTAGATCGCAGTTGGTAGCCCGGACCCGCATTAAAGGTAGCTGGGTGGTTTGTTTACTGGGGTTATTTTGTAGGCCTCAATAGTCACATCGGACAAATTTGGCTTCCGTTTTACGTTTGAGGCTAGGGTTAGGGTACCTGTTAATGGTTTCCGATTTTCCGGTTAGGGTTATGCCTTTAGGCTTCGGTTTTCGCGTTATGGTTAGGGTTTGAGCGTACGAATAGGTTCCAGTATTACGCTTAGGCGTCTCAGTTACGGCTATGTGTAAGGGCTACGGTTACGTTTACGATTTCGATTAGGGTTAGGGTTGCCGTTAGGGTTAAGGTTGAGATTAGGGTTAAGGTCGCCGTCCGCTTCTCATTCCGGACTACCCACTGCGATCAAGCCGAAAAGTGAAATAATTTCTGGGATTGCAGAGCCATGTCCTGCAGTTAAACAAATGCAGCCAAATCGAAGATTATGGATGGATCGTTCAAATTCAAAGAAACAACTTCAGAATTTGTGAACAAATTATACATACTACCGTCGCTGCTGCCGTCCAAGGCGACAGACTGAACCACGAATTTCAAAACATCACTTCTGCATAAGCGCCCTTCTTGGTCACTTTAATAAGGTATTTACTGTCATTGCGCTTTTGAACAGAGTGCAGTGCCTCTGGGAAAATCTGTCTTTGTCACTTGGATATTTGTGAGTCAAGGAGCGTCCCTAGCCTAGAGCAGTAACCGATGTCTGCGTGTACAATGTGAATTGGACATGGGAATAGACACCCCTCCCCGCTACCAAAAGTAGCCCTACTGCAAATTTCAGGGATTCCCAGTGATCGCGCCTTCGTCTTCTTTTAAACAAGAACCTGGGATGCGCATATTCTCTTCCATTCCGATTTAAACCTGCTGAGTATGACTTTGGGTTAGAAAATGAGAACCAGATTTGTCCTAGAACTTTGACTCATGGAGGGTGGCAAAGTCAAGCAAACCAGCACGAAAGAAAACAAAGATGTGTAACAAGTCTCAAGAATCTTATTGAGCGTCGCACTTCATGGCAGATATTGTAGACATGTTGATTTTTTTTTCTCAACCGTCCGCTCGCAGAGGCAGCAAACGTTGTATTATGCAGTCCAGGAACCTCAATCCCTTCCGTCCAGTGCTGTTCATTCAGTGGCAACTTCAGAAACAGTTTGTCCTACCATACTGGGCGTCTTACAATGGTAAGGCGCTTACCCGACGTAGAAGACTCTGCATCCTGTTAAGGTTGCCCTTACGTCTAATGGCAGATAGGACATCGATAAGAGGGGCAGTTACTCTCCGGATGATCTGTTTTTGAGTTTTTTTTTATCCTTCTACACTGTCATAACCACGTTTGTTCAGGCATAGCTTGTCAATTTGGAGACTTCTGATCAACTTTTCTTTCGAGTTTAGATTCCTTACGCTTGTGCCTGACCCTGCTGCTTTTGCAAACAGGTAGGCGTGACGGCATTTGTCTGGGTTGAGGGGTGACAATTAAAAAGTCGAGGGAGGCTACGAGTGATTGGTTCGTGGCGGATCATTCGCGCTTGTGACAAAGCCCACGAAGGCTAGCTCGTCTGCTTTTGGTGGAGGTTCAGCAGTTATTTCTAGTTTCGGATGAGTCGAGTTTGATACTGTCAGAGATTCGTCAAACCGTTAATTCCGTACTGCGACCCACGCATGTGTGGGCGCCCACGTCTGATGCTTCTATGCGCTGTAGCTTGAATTTGGTCCCCTCCGCTTTGGCTCAATTACACGAGATTGGCAGTCACCGATCTGTCTCACACAAGCAATAAAGAATTTAGGTGTGTCAATAAAAAATGCCGAAAACCTGAACTAACGTCTCAGAACTATCCACCATCATCAGTTTACCCCAGTGAAACCCCGGACCTGAGAGGTCTCGCACCCAATAATTAGATCTGCGCTTATTCTGGTTTTAGATATGGCCGGCTAATAATCGTAATAAAGTTGATAGCACTTATTTATCCCCATCAGTTGATCGGCATGACTAAGGTCAGCTTGCATTCGTCAGTAATCGCAATCGTGTCTACTGCAATCATAAGTTTACCCAGACAAGTCCTAACCTAAGTCCTAGTCAACATTCGACGAATTGCGTGCAGCAGAGCAGATGAGACGAAAAGAGCGAGAACTTTGCAAGGAGTGTATTTACATTCGGTGTTCAGGCATCCTTCAAAACTAGTAAGCAGAGTTGGGGCCCATTACATCTGAAGCTTTAAAGTCGGCTTTCTGAAGGAGTCGCAAAAAAACGACGTGAAAAAGGGGAAGAAGAAACAGTAGACGAATTCTGTATCATAAAATGTACAAATAGGGGACCCGAGTCGGCGTTGGTGAGCCGACTGCACCCCCAAGAGAGACGTCCGCAAAACCACTGAACTTACAGGCAAAATGACGGTAACAATGACAGTGGTGGTGGTGGTAGTGGTGGTGGTGGTGGTGGTGGTGGTGG